AAGGCTGAGAAGTGATCTTGTGGCTGTCTACAAATTCATCGGGGTGGACAGCAAAGAATAGGAGATGCTCTGTTTACCAGAGCACCCTTTGGAGTAACTAGAAATAACGGCCACAGACTGACAGAGAGCAGATTCAGGTTAGACATCAGGAAGAACTTCTTTATGGTAAGGGTTGCCAGAATCTGGGCTTCCAAGGGAGGTGATGCTCTCCCCTACCTTGGGGGTCTACAAGAGGAGACTGGACATGCACCTGGCTGGGGTCATATGACCCCAGCGCTCTTTCCTGCCCAGGGCAGGGGGTTGGACTTGATGATCTGCTGAGGTCCCTTCCGACCCTAGGATCTATGAACCATCCCCAAGCTTCCCAATCTGTCCTGCCCAGCAACACCTACCAACTCCAAACATTGTGTCCCAAGCCTGTCATTCTCTGAGGGGTGCCCTGCTCACTGCTGCCCATGTTGCCACCCTGTGAGATCCTTTTAAGGGTACCACAATCTATAAGAAGGTAAACATTGTAAGAAAATTAGTCTTTAAATGGTGTGTCACTAAATTCTGAAAAATTACGGAGAGCTGCCTTCAGTCTGAAAAGGTTGAGACAGTGCCCTAATAGCTGTAACCCTTAAAGGGAGCTTTATCTGATTTCTTAAGAAGTTATATAATCTAAATCCAGCAGTCACCATGTCCTTGCATGCGATTGGTACAGGGTTGGGGCATTTCCCTTGTACTGCACCCTGAGCAGGGATCAGGATTGCTCTACTCGAGGGGGTGGATAGATTTATCCTTGCAAATAAATACACTAAATCCTACCTGGGCCATTGCCAGGACGCTACAGTTGAAAGCAGTCTTACCCTGTGATGTTTGAGAGCCTTCTTCCTGCAGGACACAGTTATTTTCTTGATGCTATCTGGCCAACCCAAAAGCTGTTTTGGGAATGGGGTGAATGCATTGGCTTCACTAATGCCTTCTAATCCCAGGATATTTTGGCCTCTGTGGGGATGGCTTATTCTCCTTTGCAGAGCTGGGATATGAACCCAGACATCCTGAGGCTGTCATCTACTCTAAATACTGTACCGTAATCCCTCCTAAAACTAGGCACCTAACCTAAAAATCCATCCTGCTAGTTCCTTGCTTTGGCATCTAGATTATTCTTCCTCCCAGACCTGGGAAATAGATCAGCAGTTCTGACTTCCAAATCTCTTCCAAGTCACTTGATCTATATTTCTAAAGTTATATATTTCTTCCAGTTCACTTCTGCCAAGCCCTGGGAATTGAATGCAAAATTCTTGACTCTGTGGTTCCCTTGCTCTATCACTAAAACACTCTTCTTCTTGGAGTGTAGGATAGTATACAAGACTGGTTTTATCCTGGAGCATCAAAAACTGAAGGGTCGGTGGTGGAGGGGAGCAGCGATTCCTATCCTGAGTGCTTCCCAGAGAGTCATCTCAGGAGACCAGCTAGGCTCTGGGGGCTCTGAATTTGACAGCCAAATGAAAATGGCCCTGAGGCAGTCTGGAATAGATTTAGAAGGTGTGGTTTATGTGTCCCTCTGTGGGGGAATTTAGGCCCCTAAATTCCTGGCGATTAGCTTTCTTTGGGAATAGCCTCCATTGCTAAATGGTATCTGACAGCCCTTCCCTCTGGCTCGACAAGTCTGACATATCAGCCTCTTCTGCTGAAGCTGCCTGATATCTAGCCACTAATTGGAAATCTTTGTCTGGCAGAGGGCTATGGTGAGCTCCTGTGGGAGTATTTAATTGCAGCAGAGGCTTCTAAGGCTGCACAAACAAGTCCATGGTGGCAGAGCTGGGAGGGAAGGGACAAAGCAATCTATGCTATGCAGGAATCCCACATGGCACGTGGCACTGCCAGGTGCTGAAGGAAGATGCAGAGCTTTTCCCCCCTGTGGTTTCACAACGTGGGTAGGCAAAATGACGCCAGACATGACGCTTCGTGACCCTGCTTCTGAAGTTGGCAGTGACATTGTGAAAGTGGCAGAGAAGCCTGAGAAATCTGACACTGTTGTTTTGAGGCAGGTGCTTATGCTTCATGTCTAATGAAGAACAAAAAGCCGAGTGCTTTCCCCCTGGGTGGTTCAGCTGATCTGCTCTGGCAGCTGCTCTGTCCAGGGGTGGATCCAGGATTTGGCAAAGGAGGTACAGAAGTAGCCACTCACACTGCAACAGTGACTGTTCCCCTTTTCCCAGCGTCCTCCCCCCTCACCCCACCGGTAGGGGAAACTGCCTTTCAGGAGCCTCTGAGGATTTTTTTTAGTTCCCAAAGCAGGTAAGCATCCCTGCCTTTCCCTTTGTGCTCAGAGGCACATCCCCTCTCCGGTTCTGTGCTCTCCCCCTCCAATCATTTCTACTTTCCCCACTGTCCCAAGGGTTGTGGAAGCTTCAGAGCTGCTCCTACCTGTTCCGTCTGGGCTCTGCAGGAGCTGGGCTTAGCTGGGAACAGTGGTGGCAGCAGCAATAGGGAGGGTTCCCCAACACTGCCGAGTCCCCCCAGCAGCAGGTGTGAAAAGCCACTGCTACTGTCACTGTCATAGGTAAGCCCAGCTGGAGTGGGCTTGAGTAGCTCTGAAGATTCCTGCCTGCTCCACCCCCCGAGTAGGGAAAACAGCCACAGGAGGTGGGGGATGGAGGAATGGGGGAGGGAATGTGCCTCTGAGTATGGAGTAGAAGGGGGGAATTTCATGTGCTTTGGAGACTTAAAAGTCCCCAGAGGCTCCAGCAGCATGGGCTAGTCCAAAAGGAAGATATAGCTACACCACTGCACCACCCATAGATGCTGCTGACGGCAGGAGGGAGAGCAGAGTGGTGAGTGGTGACCACCCACAGGCGCCTTTTTGTAGGAGGTGCACCTCCATGCTCAGGGGATGTACATGCACCCACATGCACCCACTATACATCGACCCTGATGCCTGGCACAGATCCTCTAAGATGCATGCAAGTTCATAGCCACGCTGTGAGTTATGTCAACATGTCTGCAGCAGTAAATGGGAATATGATTCAAGACCAAACACTGGGTCTTTCTGAGTTTGTCTATGTGATGCATTCAGCAACAGTTTGTGAATGGTAGTTTGCCCTGGACCTGATAGTTAAGGTTGCCTAATGCTTTGCTCCTGACTTCAGTAACTTATAACTTTATCAAATTTCAGGGCTAGGGACAGAAATTACACAAAAGCTAGTATAAGGGATTGGAAACCAGTTCAAATCTGTAACACAACAGAAGTTCAGTGCACATAAACTGATTTCAAAATGGCCAAACCCAGTCTAAGATAAACCTGGATGGATGTAATATCAGACTTAATTGATTCAGGTTAAATTGGTTTGTTGAACTTCTGCCCCAGATCTCCTCCAGATTCAAATGAACTCCTAGTCCCCCAGCATCCCAGGATGCTTTGCACCTCCCCTGCAAAGCCCCCCTCACAGATTGGACAGTCTAGCCTTGGCCCAAACTGTCTCCTCCAGCAGAGCAGGAAGGCATGGTCTAGTGGCCCCCGGCTTCTGGCCTGGGCCACTGCAGGCACATGGCTGTATTTCCAGAATCAAAAGTGAATATCTGTTTACATGCTTATTGGTTCAATCTGCACAGTTCAGACTAACCTGCAAAGATTGAATCAATTCAACCTCAGGCTTTTTGGCCATCTGTACTTAGCCCAGTTTTTTGGGCTGAAAACTTGCATGTCAGGTCTTTGTGTTACAGTTCCATATAGATGTCAGGTTGGAATGAACAACCCGTTACTCAGACAAGAGCCGATAAAGAGGGAGGGGCAGCATTACCAAGGGCCTTGGAAGTGATCACAAGACTTGGGCATAATGTCAGGCAGTGGCAGGGTGGGGGTGGGGGGTGGTCACTAGGGTGGTAAAGTAGCCAGAGGTTTTGACTAAGATGGTGAATCTAGTTGCTTCTTTGTATGGACTAGTACGAGGGTGCTAGGGAACTGCCACGGGGAGGTTGCAGTGGTCAGTGCAGGAGATGATTGGGCCAGGACAACAGAGTTTTGCCATCTGAACAGATAAGGAATTGCCTCTTAAAAGGAACAAGCAGCAATAAGATCTGGATTTTCTGTGCAGTCAGTTTTCCCTGTTAGTTCACATCTTCCAAGCAGCAACAGCATAAAAGTGTTTTTTTAACTAAGAATGTAGTTGTGAAACCATAAAACAAGCAGGGGCAACAGCCAAATAAAAGTTAAGCTCTTTGTGTTAGGGTTGACTGAATTTCCAATCAGCGTGTGTCCATTTTTAACATCAAGCTGTATGTGAGATTTGATTGGACACACAAGCAGATGGTACTACATTTCTGTATTATTTCTGTATTATTTGATTTGATGGCATTTTTGAGGCACCCTTCACTGTGTAGCTAAGCATTCTATTCTGTGATTGTGCAAAGTCTTTCAACCAGCTTTCTGGTGCACATACTTGTGTTTAAAAGGTCAGAATCTGCCCACCCCCACTGGCACTCCTTTACAAAGTTGAAGGGGGAGGGGTGGGAAAGGGGTGGAAAGATAGAGACAGATGGGGCAGCTCAGGGAGCTAGAGAGCCACATCTATAAGGGATCTCTTGAGTGAAGAAGTGTGGACTCTGGATCGTGAATCCATTGGGCACTTGTTTTGTAAGCATTTGTTTATGTTCTGCTTAATAAATTCTAATGGCGAAGCAGCACAGAACTGAATGAGCTGTTTTTTTGTGCCAATAGGGAGTGTGCAACCTTCAAAAGGGGAGGCCAGTGATGAAGATGAGGAGACAGAGTATTTTGATGCCATGGAGGATGCACCAGCTTTTATCACAGTAACTGCAGACCCCAAACATCACAGGTATGAAACCACCAACCCAAAGAGGCCAGTTGTCAGGCACAGTCTGGCAAAACTCATGACATGAATTGAAAGAATAGTGGCAAGGTTTCTTATGACTTGATGACAGCCTCCTCATTGGGCCTGTTAATTATGTTTCCCCTGTTGATAGCCAGATTGGCTGCCATTCAGCTAGGCAACATATTTGTGCAAGAGCATCCCAGAGCCAGCGAGGCCAGGAGAACAATGACAAGCATGTTCTAAACACCAGTGCTAGTGAAGACGCTTTGAGGTAGGAGCCGTCTGTCCTCAGCACAGGTGTGGTACGGGTGAGAGCAAGGCATGCTGCTCTCATGCAAGTACCTATATGCCTCTACTCTAAATGGGAAGAGGAATGCTGTCCCTGGGGCCCCTTCTGAGACAGCAGAACTTGTTCACATCAGTTGTAGTGGTGGTCTTTGCCATAGGAGCACCCACTTACCAACAGCTGGGCTGAGACCCACCTTCCTGTTGAGTGTGGACAAAAAGCAACTGCTGGGTTGCAACAACTTTAAATCACAATTGATGCAGGATGGATGTGAAATAATGACTGAGATGAAAGGCTGCCTGCCCTATTAGGAGTAATCCAAACTTGTTCAGGCCCAAAGGAAGTCTGAATAGGAAGAACCAAATCAGAGGTTCCAGATGTGGATTGATATAATTACTTAGTGCAAGTCTGTAGTACAGTAGCTGTGGGGGACAGTGGCTGAAGTAGATACCACACCTGCTAGAGTTCTGGAGAAAGCTGGTGTTTGGCTAAGACAGCAACATCTGCTCCATTCCAAGTCTGGCCAGTGTTCCTGCTGGCATTGCCATTAGAGTTCCTGGGCTGGACTTCACTTCCTAGCATTTTGGGTGCGTCATTTGTAGTTGTGTACAGTGAGCATTGCACACAATGTCTGCAGTAGTCATTCTCGGGCCAGGCAGAGGCTGGTTCTCTGACTGCCATGTCCCTTTCTGGGGTCTGTGCAACCATCTGCCACAGAATGTCACGTTTCCTGTCCCATAGGGAAGCATTTATTATGCTGTACTTTTCCCCACTTTAACTAGCACAGAGAACCTGGAAGTAATGTAATTAGAAATAAAAGTCAGAAGTAGATGGCCCAGAGAGGTTCATTTAAAGCTGTTATTGCAAAACCTCTGCAGAGAAAATTTTGATCAAAGTAGACCTAAGTTCCACTGGGCAAGAACTGAGGGCTGCCGAGAATGTGATGTAGTTTCATTATAGTGTCATGGCTTGCTCCCTCTGCTGGGCTGAGCCGTAGGAAGGAGTGGGATTTCTTTGCACCTGACTGATTGTACACAGTGCAGAATGTGCCCATGGCAAACTGAATCCCTACAGCTCAAGGTAATTCAAGGGCAGGAATTAGAATGGTGTTGGGCCCCGGTCTTGGCATTCCTGTTCTGAATCCCTACAAGCAGAGACTTGCTATGTCCCCTGCATCCTCCCCTCTCCTTTGCCAGGTGTACTTTGGGATTGGGGGATGCCACCATAGTTGGGATGTCAGCATCAGAAAACTTGCCATGAGGAATCCTTCCAGCTCACATGTAATGTCAGTGAATAGAGTGGAGCCCTGTGCAACCTCTCCCAGCAGTCACGTTTCTCCAAGGTTGGGGTAGGGACCTTAGGTTTATGATGACTTGGGAAGGCAGGGATTGCTCAGAATCTCTGAAATTCAAGCCATTTATCCAACTGAGTTGGGCTAATAAAAGATAGCACATCTGCTCAAAAACCTTGCCTGCCTAAGCCATTTATCCAGCCATTCAGCACTCAGACTTGAAAATTCTACTAGGTGACTGGCTGATAGTCTCACTGAGAGTCAGTAGCAGTCATGGATCACAGAATCATCATAGAGATGGAAGGGATCTCCAGAGCTCACCTAGTTCAGCCCCCTGCTCAGGGCAGGATCATCCGTATCCAAAACATCCCCATACATATCCTTATCTCATGTATTCCTAAAACTACACACATCAACCCTACTGCACCGCTTTAAGGGATATTGCCCAAGGACATCAAAAGCAGTCTAGCTTATCACAGGTAAAATAGGGGCACAAGGATTCTCAGTGTCCCACCACAGCAAGGATTATTAAAGTACACTCAAGATGGCCCAGTGGATTCTGAAGACCTGGGTTCCATTTTCTGTTCTCTTACAGACTCCCTGTATGGTCCTGGGCAAGTCACTCAGTCCCTCTGAACCTCATGTCCAATGTGAAACTGAGATAATAGCTAAGCCTTACTGCACCAGGTGTTTGGGAGGATAAATGCATTAAAGGGTTATGGAGCTCAGATGCTGTGGTTTGGGGCAGGGCATAGAAATATGTTAAAATGATCCAGGAGCAAGAACTTGGTTGTTCTTGCTTTAACCACTGGACCATCCTTCTTACCTGGAAACCACTTTGTGGGGAGCTTGAAGATGGCCTGGTAATGTTTCCTGGGGGTCTGTTTCTCTGTTTACGTGACAGCAAGATTACCACAGAGTTGAACCTAAGTTGTTTTGCATTGGTGATGAGATGAGGCCAAAAGCATTACTGATCTGAAAGTCAGGATCTTCAGTGGCATAAAAAATGTCTGAGATTTAAAGGAGAAATAATTTTAAAAAAATCATAAAACATTGATTTCAGTAGCCCGTTTGCACTCCCTGATGTGCTCGCTCATGCCTGAGCATAGTCTTTTTATAGCTAGAATAAAAAGAAGTGAGAACTGTCCATGTATTTGCATACCAAGCCCTGCCCACTGCAGCACCTATTATAATAACCTCAAGCTGCCCTTGCAGCAAGCAGATGATGCCTGTGGGTAAGACAGGTCTTAGCACAAACAGAGCAACAATTCCTGTTCCATTCTCTGCCTTTTGTCACCTATAGCCTTTGTGTTCCCTGCAGACGTTCTGGCAGTAACCTGAGTGGGGCCAGCGAAGGCCACTCTGAGGATTGGACCCTGGAGGACAATGTGAGTGTGTCAGTCTCGGATGGGTAGATGGCCGTGGTGTAATGAAATGGGGGGTGTGGTGAAGGGGCCAGGGATAGACAACACAATTGTGAGAAGAGAAGGCAGCTTCCTTATCATGTTCTCTCCCAGGCCATCAGGATAGAAGGAAATTGTAGGTGTTGAATCTGACAAAGGGAGATGACCAGGAGGCATGTACATGTGAAGGGAGAATGAGGTGGATTGTCCCCTCAACAGCTCCCTTTGTTCACAATCAGATGCAGTTCTAGTCAAACCCAAACATCCTGATGTACTTCTTCCAAATGCATGGCTCTGTCTGGGGTTATAGGTGGCTGGGTAAGGCTACCCTGGCATTACAGCCTACCTGTGTCTTTTACTTCCTAAATTAGTTGAGCACTTCTCTAGCTGAAGGCCTGAGAGCCTTGGGAAAGGCAGCTGAGGGCAGTGCATACCCTAAGCAACTGAATCATGGCACTGGCCAGTGTTACTGTTGGGCAGATTTCTGCCCGTTCCAATAGAGAAAGCTTTGATAAGCAAAGCTTTGATAAACAAAGGTACCGTGAAATGTTCTGTGCTAACCTTCGTCTGTCCCATTAGGGAAGGGGGCAGGTCACAAGAGGGGATAGCCCTGCAAGCTAGCTTTTACCTACATCCTGCTTTCCACTGTTTGTCGCTCTGGCTTTTAGATGTGAAGGTAATTATTTTGCTGCTTCTCCCAGGTGTTTGAGAGCTCAAATCAATCTGGCTACAATGAATCAACTTGCAAAGATCTCCTACCTAAGAAGAGGAGACGGACTCGTGTCCCAGACAAACCCAACTACAGCCTTAATCTGTGGAGCATAATGAAAAACTGCATTGGCAAAGAACTTTCCAAGATCCCTATGCCTGTACGTGAGTCCTCTCTGCCTGACAGTGCTGCTCGCTGGTAGGAGGGTTCACCCACCAATTTAAATACTTCATATAGGCTCTTTACATGCAGTTATATGGGTTTGAGCCATTGAACTGCGAATTGAAGGTGTGCAGTACCTTCTAGAACCAGATCCCAAATGTGAAAATGTGAGGCAGTCCTGTACTGCAGAAGTCACTTTTAGTCCCTACAGCCCCACAGCACTGTCAGCTGATATTTAAGCTTTTCAAAAAAAGCATTTCCAGGTCAACAAGACCTTTTCATTTTATGTGGTTCAAACATAGGTCCTAATGGACGCTGGTTGATACCACCTAAGCAACCTGGTGCCGTGCAAATGTGTATGGAGCCCTGCTGTACAGAGCTCAAACTTTAAAGAAATTGAGGAGAAAAAACTCTGTGGGTACCTGGAGAATTTTTTAAAAGAAAAATGAGTTCTGCTTTGCTCAGGTGTAGGGGTGGCATGTGGCTGGTAGTGGCACAGGGGGTGTGACGGTGGAGGGACCTGAATGAGGGAAGGTTGTGTGGTCTGCCTTAAAGGACAGAAGCATAAGAATCAACGACATGAAGGTGAAGCAGGGAAAACATGAGTGGAAAATGTCTCTTTTGTACTGGCGTAACTCTATGCCAGTTACTTTCTGCCGAAGGTCAGGCGTTTAATTATTGTATGTACTTGAATAATAGATCAATTATAATCAGCCAATAATTCATAGATTCATAGATGTAGGGTCGGAAGGGACCTTGTAGATCTTCTGGTCCGACCCCCTGCCCTGGGCAGGAGAGAAAACTGGGCTGAAATGACCCCAGCCAGGTAAACGTCGAGCCTCCTCTTAAAGACCCCCAGGGTAGGGGCCATCACCACTTCCCTTGGAAGTTGGTTCCAGATCCTAGCTGCCCTGACTGTGAAGTAGTGCCTTCGGATGTCTAGCCTAAACCTACTCTCTAGCAACTTATGGCCATTATTTCTTGTTACTCTGGGAGGCGCTCGGGGGAACAAGATCTCTCCCAAACCCCGCTGGTCCCCCCTAGTAAATTTATAGACAGCCACCAGGTCCCCCCTCAGCCTTCTCTTGCGAAGGCTGAACAAGTTAAGGTCCCGTAGCCTCTCTTCATAGGGTCTGCCCTGCTGTCCCCGGATCATGCGGGTGGTCCTCCTTTGGACCCTCTCAATGCTGTCCACATCCCTCCTGAAGTGCGGTGCCCAGAACTGGATGCAGTACTCCAACTGCGGCCTGACCAGTGCCACATAGAGGGGGA